GGGGCCCAGGAGAAAGAGTTTGGGAACCACTGAGCTAGAGGAAGCAATCATTTTTTCAAAAACCAAGAGAGCACACCCTCTGTTGGAAGCAAAACGCAGCATAGTACAAGGGGCTTGCTTTTATAACAATATTTTGATCTGGGGCAAGTAAGTGAAACGAGTCATGCTTGGCTTTATGATAGAAGAGTGGCACACTTGTTGGCACTATTGCCTGTCTTGGAAAATAAAACTTAGGTTTGCTTACTTGGAAGAATGAGCTAATAACGAAGGTTTCTGAGCAGGTGTTTTTTCTTATGGAACTGATAACGGAGGTTTCAGTGAAGATGCATTTCTTCCTTGTCCAACTGAAACTCCTTTGAACAGGGTTTGATTTAGGGACACAGGTACCAATTAACCAGAAATGGGAGAAACTGAGAGGAGTGTTCCCTATAGGACAGAGATGGGTGGAAGGCACCGTGTACATGACTGAAGAGATATATAAGAAGAATTCTGTTTTAAGATTCACTTCTCTCTTGTTCTTTTCTCACACGCTGATCTCTGATACTTACTCTGATTTTCTAAATAAAATATCTAAAGACAAATGTGCATTTCTCTGATTGATTCAGTGTATCGCTCAATCCCAAAACGAAAAATTTTTTCCTAAACATGCCTCATTGCTGAGAAGGGCCTTTCTGTGTTAAGTTTCTATGTTCTCCCTGTTTGGTTCACACCAAGTACGTTAAATTCTCTCCCAAAATCCAAAAGCATGCAGATTAGGATAACTACTCTCTTAAAGTGGCCTATGTGTGCGTGCGTGTGTGTGTGTGAGGCATGTTTTCATATTCTTGCCTGTCTACATTGTAGGGTTGTGGGGACAAATCCTGGTCCCCATGAGGGAAATGCTGTGATGGGGTTAGGTATGTAATGATTAGGTTTAGGGTTAAGCTGTAATGAATGGGTTAGGGTTAGATTGCGGCGGCAGCGTGTCGGTTGGTCTGTGTTACCCAGAAAGCAGTTGGGCACAATATCGCAACACCAACACCGTGAGTGACGATACTGGGGCAGCTTACTATATAAAGTACTCAGGGACCACTTTATTATTACACATCCACATTTGTAGAGTACGGAAGGAATTGCATCCCATATAGATTCAATACTGGATGGGTGGCAACCCTAACTGTAGCGTCTATTCTATGCGCCTTATAAAGCGGTGCGCCTTACAAATGAAAAAAGTTTTAAAATAGGTCATTCATTCAAGGTGCGCCTTATAATGAAGAAAATACGGTAAATCATCATCTTTACATTTCTCGAACAAATAAATTTGAATGACAGGTTAAGAATTACAGATGAAGCAGTAAACACAACACTTTCTCAAGGTACTGTAAATTGTACTTTGAAAATGGAAAGACAAAAGTTTGCCAATTTATCCTACGGTAACAGTACTGAAAAAATTAGTAATATCGTAAGATTCCTCTCTAGTCTTAATAAAAGCAAAAACATGGTTGTACTGTGTGCAACACTGTGGTAACAGTTGTGTGATTATTTCAGCTGTACAGGTGGCACTTTTACATTACACTGTTGCCATCTCTCCCACACATGTATACTTAAACACACAGTGTTGCTAAAAACATCTGTGAAGCAAACACAGTCAGCCCAGTGAGGGGTTCTAGGTCTCTAGGTCACTTCCTGTCTGGACAGAGCTTTAGTGTACGCAAAGGGGGTTAGAGATTAGCAGAGCTTTCTCGCAATAAGGTTGAACTGTTTAGCTAAATGAAAAGCTCTACTACAAACACACATAATATACTAAAGAACTACGGGTGTAATAATTTGCCTTGTAATATTTCCCGTCTGCCATGTCTGTGTCAGCAGCTTCCTGTGTGAGCTGCAGGAAATGAGCTGACTGACCTTTCTGTACAGCTGGACTGTTCTGCAGGCTGGTGGTCTTTGAAGATGGCTTGGATGAATCACAATCCGAGTCTTTGCTTGTGTCAATGGACACAATGACGTCCTTCGCTCCTGAAGACTTCTCCTGGGAGGACAACAACTCATCTGGCAAAAACAGCAATTTAGAGCACAGATTGAGCAGAAGCCGAAAAAAAAACTTAAATTAGAATAAGTACCACATGGAGAACTAAGTAATTTTCAACTTTTCACATTTGGTTCAGTTTGGTTCAGCTAATTCACAACATGTCATCTCAAGGTCAAACGATTGTTAAAGTTGAAAAAATATGCAATTGAATTATTATTTATGCCAGTATTTTTTTGCTGCTGTGATGCTTTAATGGTCCACTGGTAATGATAATAATAATAATAACAGTAAGTGGCAGTAATCTATCAAATTGTTGCCAATTACCCAAGTCCAGCTCAACTAAAGTCAGAATGGATTTTCCCAGATTATTTTTGAAAAGGTCACTAAGTAGAAGCTCCAGTCAGGGGTTTAGCTGCATGTTTCCAGCCAGAACATGTAGAAAAGGCATGATTGTGTGTAAAGCTTCCTCTAAATTTTAGACATGCCTATTTAGAAATTTGCACTATGTTGCACATAGACAAAGAATTTTTAAAAAAGGTGTGATGGGTGGGATTTGATTATTTTGTGTCCAATTCTGAATGCCTTGTTCATACTGGCCATATGGGGAATCAGTTTTTTATAAAGAGGCTCTAGTGGCAGGGGTCTGATACCTTGTCCTTGGATATGAGACACATCTAGCCCCTCCTGCAGCCGCAGAATAACAGCACCATACTGGAAGTCAAAGGCATCACTGAGGAGGACAAAAAAATCAACACATGTTGTCAGAAAAGAAAGTCATTGACTGCATCAAACCTCAATGGTCTTGTGAAATAAAGGCAAGTAGAGCAAAAAAAAAAAAAAAAAAAAAAAAAAACCCTTAGAAAAAAAAATAAAGCAAAGCATTTGGAGCTCAACTAATTTAAACCCAACACTGTAGCTTGATCTCTGTAGCATGTCTGCCTCCACGGCTACATAAAATAAAATAAAAATTCTAAAACAAAATCTGAGTGCATAACTTAATATTAATTAGCTCCACTGATGCAGGACAGGACTATTTCCAACTGTCAGGTTTAGTCTAGACTGTCTAGACTTAAAATCCCCACCCTTCATGAACTCTTAGGCCAAGTGTGTCGCACACAATCTCAGGCTTCAGTCATGACAAAATATTGCTACCTATTGCATTATTACAAGGGCTGCACTGTTCTTCCTGCACCTTCAGCCCTACTTTGTTTTCTATTTGTTTTAATATTAACCATGTTTAACCAAAGCTGCTCTCCATTTTGATGATCTTCTGATACAAAACTGCAAAAGTGAAATGAGAGTTGGCAGGTCAAAGCTTTACAAAAACTGGGGTTTGGAAATTTGCCAAAAAATTCTGATTGGTGCACCTGTTTTTTTTTTTACTAGAGCAAATTATCCCATAATGCCATCCTTTATTTATAGGGATAAAAGGATCATCTTTGTCTAGTTGTAAAAAGAACCAAGGTACCAAAGAATGGCATCATTCTTGCCATTCCATTCCAATGCCATTCCAGTGCAGGGATGGCGGAATGACAGAGCAGAGGGGGCAGACTTGGAGGTCAGGGAGTGGTCCGTTTCTCCCAACGTGGCCAGAGGAAGGTAAAGAGAGAGAGCCATGTCGTTTGAGCGAAATTGGCGCTCCAGCTCTGAGGAACGGGAGGTCTGATGAGATCTGAATAGATTTTGATGTCAAGTATGGCATCAATAATATCAAGTGTCATGTGTCTTGATTATTCATAGTCAGAAAAAAAAAGCCTAGTAAAATTGAGTCTTGATAAAAATAAAAAAAAAGCCTCAGTTCAAAATTGACCTGTAATGTAAGTATTGCTTTAGGTGCTCCTACTTACTGGATCATATTAATGTAAGTCTCCACATTCATCATGTCACCATCTCTCCAGTCATTCTTGAAGCCAAGCACTAGTGTGTTTGGCCGGAGACGACCCAGACCAGCGGCCTGAAAGAACAAAAGTTCAAATCGCTGAACATCACCCTCACTTTTATGTGGCTTTAGACAGAACCGCAGCAAGCACTACGAGTATGACTGGTTGCATTGGTTTAGACCAGTGTTTCTCAACCTTTTTTGGGCCAGCGCCCCCCCTGTCCATTATCCAGGTCCCTCACTGCTCCCATTAAAAAAATTGTAGGCTACTTTACACTGAATATTATTTTATTATTAATATTACTATCACTGTTGTTGATGTTTGATTTTTATGGTTGTTTCTGGAGTTATCGTCAAAAATAATTTCCCAGAGAACAAAAAAGCAATGCAAATAGAAATTATTTTTACAGGCGTCTGAGAAAAATGCAAAGAATGGACATTCAACTTAAAATTGGTAGGCCTAATAGCAGCCAATCAGAGTGGAAAAAGTATTCTTGTTCCGTGCTATTTTCTAGTTAAATATTACACAAAATGACCAGCTAAAAGATGTACAACAATGCCAGTTTAAATTTTGAACTATTTGCAAAAAGACTGAGCTCTGTAACATTAAAACATGGATAGAACTCCAACTATGTCAATCATAACTCTTCTTCTCTTCAGTGTTTCTGTGAGTTTCTGGTGGCGCAGCTCTGTGCTGCCTTCGGGAGAATGGGACATCAGAGTATTATCCGTAAAATATCACCCACATGGCATTTATTGTGCAAACCAGAGCTTTCAGGAGGGGCATCACTTATCATTTATTGACGCTCACCATCAGTAATCTTCACTCATCACCTGCTGCGCCGCCTAATCGTCATGTTTCACATCATGTGTTGATTTTTCACTGTTCAGCGTCGGATTCTCTGTTTTTATGCCATAATTCACATCTAGTTCGTCGCTCCGTTTTATGTCCCGCTTCTCCTGTTTCAGAGTTTTGCACAATGTGCGAGTCATTTTTTGTTTTTTAACCCCCTATGGTGCGCAGCGTTCAGGAAACGTATCGATGGGGAAAAGGCAGACTGACATAAACCTTTTAAAACAACGCAAACAATTTCGGTATTCTGATTATTGAAATTTAAAAGTGCTGTGGTTCCGTTGTTCTATCACACCCGTTTCATACCGGACCACTTACAGCTCCGGTGTTATCGCTATAAAATGAACGCTCTCTATCGTGGTATCACCATGGAGGGATTTCTTTATTTAAATGGGTTCATTTTTCAGTGGGATACACAGTGAGGGTATCGTGATTTTAGTAATCACATGTTTATAAGAGCGATATTTCGTTGTCCTTCCATGAAAGCGGGCAGCATTCAGATGGACA